GAAGACGTCACAGTCACCGTATGATAAATATTCCTTTCAGTTTGTTTCATTAGCCCTTCAACATGCTCATTTTCTAGTTTTTCAGATCCGCGTGAAGACACCATATTTTGATTTCACACAAATACCCGGTTGAATTTTGCCAGTTTTGCTTTTACATAGGGCAGATATAATCTACAACTGAAATGCTTCACGTTTAGTATTATCTCTTCAAAAAATGATGCTATAAAGACTTGTTATTGGTTAATTATTGCTATATGCAAGGGCCAGGAAATCTGTGGTTGCGAGTGTTTTGCAGCAGTTGGTAATAAAAACTGAATTGTTCTGATATAGCTACAATCATAAAGAAACACTGACCAGTCATGACCTGTTATGTAGTATGTCTGCATAAATAAAATCTGCAATTTTTTTTTATTATGCTTTAGGTAGTAAATTAGAGGTGTACTTTTGGCATCTCCACTTTGGACATACGATGCAGTGCCCAGCCCTCTGTCCCTGGCAGCGTGTTTTGAGGAGGCAGGCAGCGAGGATATGCACAGCAAGTGGGGAAAACCTTGTGCCTAACGGGGTCCTTTTTTGGCCAGACAGCTAAAAATCAGCAAAAGCTGATTGTACTCCATCTTCTTTTGAAGCGTAAGCATTCAGCTGGGGACTGACCAGGCTAGACTGGCTGAGGCTTCCCTTGCGGGGGGCAGAAATGCAAGGCTGCAGAGGGTGCTGCTCCTCCATCTGCTCTGAGCCCCCAGGCCGAAAGGACGGAGGTACCTCACTGTAGTGCCGCAACCCTGCTTCCCCCGAGGCCTAGCTCTCAACAGGAGGCACAGGGCAAAGCTGTGCCTGGAGCAAATGGCCGCCTGAAGAGGCCCATGGAGCAGCTTCTGAAGCGTAGGACTGCCCCAGCCTAAGGAAAGTATGGGGTTACAGGTGCATCACGTCAGGAAATGATGCAAAATACATGGTGCAGAAAATGCCTGGGAGACAGAGCCTGCACCAAGGCTCTCAGGAGGAGCAACCTCCCCTGCTGCTCTGGGGAGGGAGAGCAGAGGGCAGCCGACCAGGGGCGGGATCCCTCCCTGCCTGGCAGCGGAGCACGCCCGGCGCCGCAACCGCCACCCCTCCGCCCGCCCTCCCCATTTTAGCCGCGGGGCGAGGCGAGGCGAGGCGAGGCCAGGATGGGCGCGGAAAGGCGCCCCCCGTCACGTGCCGCCCC